TGGGGGGGGGGGTTGGGGGACACTATGTTACCCATATTGACATTGTTAATTTACGACGACAGAGAGCTTTGAGTCCTTTCTACGTATATTAAGATTGCTAACCCTTCAACAGCTGATAGCTTCATGTCTTGAGTCCATTCTACGTATATTAAGATTGCTAACCCTTCAACAGCTGATAGCTTTGTGTCTTGAGTCCATTCTACGTATATTAAGATTGTTAACCCTTCAACAGCTGATAGCTTCGTGTCTATGATGTTACTTATGTTAATACTGTTAACCTTTTTCTTTGCAGCGGAGAGCTTCGCGTCCATGCTGCGGAAGTACCAGACCTCGTCGGACCAGCCAGTCCCGACCGGCACCACCATGGCGGAGGTTCTCAACAGTTTGACGCAGGCCTCCGACAGCGAGACGGACGTAGCGATGTCACCTCAGGACGAGGCAGACGGGGATGAGGAGGAAGAGTTTCAGGTGAGGTGACATTTGTTTTTCCCCTCTTTCCTTCCCTGCTGGTGGGAGAGGGCACATGACTGTTTTTTTCCTTAGATGTAGGGATTTTTACGCCCCTATCGACACAATTTAGTGATGGTTGGTTGCAGTGCTGGACAATTACTTAAGGTAATGGAAATAAAATAGAGGTAACAGAGATAATGATGATAATTAAAGTAATAATAATAATAATAATAGTAATAAATTTAATAGTAATAATGACAATAATAATTAATTTCATTTACAGTTAAACATTGGTATAGTGTGCAGGGCTTACAACTTGCTATCGGCTGTAATGTTCTTTTTCTGAAGCCCCAAGTCCCATTTAGTCTTCTTCTTCTTCTCGTTCGCATCACACTTGAAGTCTGGTATCTGTCATAAATTGGGCCGTCCTGCTCAATTCAGTCCCATTTAGTAATTATACTCTTTTCAGGTAATACATAACTTGGTTACGACATTCAAAATAATTGGGTATGAAGGGAGATTATCATGAGGTTATACTGTATATAAGGGATTTCCGCTTTAAAAAGTGCTCAGTGTTCTTTTTTAATCTTAAGTTCTGCCCGTCCTATTATTTTAGCGTCCCTGAAAGAAGGATTTTTGTTGTTGTTGTAAATGCAACTGCCCCTCCTGCCACCTGCACTGGCGCAGTATTGTAATTTGATTTTTCTGAGACACACTTTGAGGAAGATCTCTCAACACTTATGTCCCAACCAACTAACCATCAATATGCCAGGAGTGCTTATGTAAAGCTAGATAATGTCCATTCTCTCGCAACATAATACATTCATTCTTTTCCCGAACCCGCTTGAAAGCACATTATTATGCCTTTTGTGCCTGTGAGAATCTGCTGCTATTTCTCTGATGGCATTGTTTTTCTCCTGTGACAGTTATGTCTCGTAAGCTCCTCCCATGATGCCTTTCTCCTGCTCCTTCCATGTCATCTCTAAGCCCCGCCTTCTCTTTTTTTCTCTTCCTATTATGATGTCTGTCAGCCCCGCCTTCTCTTTTTTTCTCTTCCTATAATGTCTGTCAGCCCCGCCTTCTCTTTTTTTCTCTTCCTATAATGTCTGTCAGCCCCGCCTTCTCTTTTTTTCTCTTCCTATAATGTCT